AAAAACAAATACAATCCTTGGGCAGGCATCCATCCATAATTATGAATTTGATGTAATTAGGCACCCCGCTAACTTCATTACTTATTTATTTACAGGATTGCTTATTTAATTTGCGGGCCTCCTTCCCTGAAAAGTCATCTTAGCTAACACTCCTCACGCAGGGGAAGGGGAGGGGCCCCGCCTTCTGTCCCCACTCCGTTCTGGGGCTTCCTATGTCACCCTCCTGCCTTGCCCCAAAACAGCTCCCGGAAGGCCCGCACGACGTTGCCTGAGACAGCAGGGCGGCGCACGGCCTGGCAGGCCGCCTCTGACCCAGACGTGGACCCTCCTCCCCACCCTCGGCTCCCCTGCAGGGGAAGCCCGGCGTGACGCACTGGACGGGCAGAGGCATGGGAGCAACAGAAGGCTGGCACACTCGCCCCGTGACGATGGGTAAGTCACCTGCCCTGCCCGAGCCTCGTTGACGTCATCTGCAAAAAGGGCGCGTTACCAGCACCGCCAGTGCTGGCTAACGCCGAGCCCCAACCGCGACCACCCAGCCCCACCCAGGCCCTTGGCTCGGGCAATATGGCAAGAAAAATCAATGAGGCACGGAGCCTTCCTAGTCTTATTCACAGCAGCTAAAAGCTAGAAACAACGGGAAGGTCCATCGACTCATGGATGGATAGACCCACTGCGATACATTCACGCCACGGAACATTACTCAGCAATGAAAAAATAATAAACTATTGACGCCTGCTACGGCACAGGTGAATCTCAAAAACGTGCAGAGAAAGGGAGCCAGATACAAAAAGAAGCGCATACTGGGGTACATATTTTATCATTTTACTATGAAAGTCTAGGTGATTCTATGACAGGTCTGTGGCCGGGGGCAGGGGATTCTTTTGGAGGTGATGGAAACACTCTATGTTGATTGTGGTAGTTGTTAACATTTGTCTTATCTTTTTTTTTTTTTTTTAAGATTTTATTTAGTTATTTCTAGAGCGAGGGTAAGGGAGAGAGGAAGAGAGGAAGAGAAACATCGATGTGCGAGAGAAACATTGATCAGTTGCCTCTCGTTTGCCCCCAGCTGGGGACCCGGCCCGCAACCCAGGCATGTGCTCTGGGTGGGAATCGAACCGGCGACCTTTCGGTTTGCAGGCCGGTGCTCAGTCCACGGAGCCACGCCAGCCAGGGCTCATGGGTAAGTCTTATTACAGGTCAATCACATCTCCGTGAGGCTGGGTTTTTTTAAACTGTAACAGGAAATATACACGTACAGATGAACACCCCCCACCCAGGGTCCGGGGGCTGTTCCCCAACCTCCCAGTCAGGCCTGCAGGGCCTGCCACCGGCCCTCAAGCTCCCCAGGCCCCTGGTTTTGAGCGGGGGACCCGGAAGGCCAGGGCTTGCCTCTCTGCCTGTCAAGGTCCCCGTCTACAAAGGCAGGTTATAAATAGCAGGCTCCTCGGAGAGCCCTTGTACAGCCGGTTGGGGAGGAAGTACCGGCTGCAGGCCCGGGCACACAGCAGGGGCCTCCTAAGTGCTGCCACAAAGGGGTGGCCAGGCCAGCACCAGGCCCAGGTGCAGAGGACCAGCCAGAGCCCTTGTCCCCCAACTCACACAAGCGCCCCAGCAGGCGGGACCCCGGCCTGGGGGGATGCCTCTGCCACCACGGGCCGTGGCACCTCACTCTGCCTGCTGTCCAGGGCAGGGCGAGGCCCTCGGCCCCACCCAGCCCGCCGCTCCCAAGAGAGGGGACTCACCACGGTGGGCGCCCTGTGGGGAGGGGCTGGCCCCCAGGGGGCCACGGGCACCCGGGGCGGTCGCCGTGGGACGGGCACTGGCCTGAGGAGAGGACATGCTGGGGGCCAGGGCAGGACAAGGGTCGCCCCAGAGCCTGCCCGCTTATAAAACACAAATGGTAACAAAAGCACAGCAGGGCGTGCGCCACGGGGACGGGGCGCTCACGGGCCAGCGCCCACGAGTGATGGGAGGGCAGGCGGCGCAGGGGAGCCGCGGCGGGCGGGGGGCGTCCCCCGGGCCCGGTTAGAGGGCCAGCCGCGGGCAGACGCGCTCAACTGTCAGCCCTGTCCCCCCAGCCCGCCCGCCCGCCGCCACCGCCGCCATCTGAGGCACCATTAATTGCTGTCATTTGAGGGTGGCCTGTGGGGAGAGGGCAGAGGGGCTGTGGGAAGGAGAGGGGAGGGGAGGGGAAGGAAGGAAGAGGGAGCAGTGGGGGAGGGGAGGGCAGGCTGCCCAGAGCCGCGCCTCCTGAGCTGGAAGGAAAGAGACCCCCGTGGGCTCTGCTCCGTCCGCCTCCACCCGCGGAGGGACCAGGGGCCCGGAGCCCAGGGCGACGGACGCAGCCCAGGGCGGCGCGGTCACACCCCCCCCGCCGGCCCCACCCACGTCCGACCCCTCGCCCCCCATCAGCAGGCACCCCGTGTCCCCCCAGGCTCACACCGCCCCCGCTCCCAGGGTGGGCAGCTGCTCCTGGCTTCGCAGGGGCCCAAGCGCCACCCCCTCCGAGGAGGCAGCCAGCCCCAAGGGTCCCTTCCAAAGCCTGGGGTCCAACCCCCGCTCCGCCACACGCACACGTGGGGACAGCCTATCCGCGCCTTGGGCGTCGTCTGTACCACGGGGCCAACAACAGGGCCAACAACAGGGCCCGCCTCCCGGGGCAGCCCTGAGGGTTCAACGACGTGGCAGCCAACCGCACTGAGACGGGTGGGCGTGCAAGGTGGGCGGCTGCTGCTGACCCCCGCCCCGGCCTCCAGGTGACCAGGGGCTCGGAAAGGCCCCAGCTGCCCGCAGGCAGGGAGCTGGAGGGCTCGGGGCAACGTCCCTCTCCGCGCCCCCTCCCCCGACGAGCCCGGCCTCTGGGCTGAGGGAGCCCTGGGGGGCGGCCCCCTCCCCACCCCCTCCCCCCGGAGGTGATGGATCGCCCCAGAGGAGGCGGCTAAGTGCTTGCAGACAAAAAGCCCTTTTTATCGTCCTCGGGTGGGCACTGGCATGACAAGCAGATAAGTCAGCCCTAGAGGAAGGCTCCCCATTAGGCCTGCGGGCGGATGGAGGACCAGAGGAAGGAGGAAGAGGAGGAGGAGGAAGGCAAAACACCTGGGCATGGCCGCCTTCCTTCCAACCTCGAAGGCACCAAGCACACCAGGCGGAAAACCCGGGCGGCCCCCCTGGAGGGGACACCCCCCGCCCGCTGGTGCTGCCCAGGCTGCCCGCCCCCCAGAGGCCACCCACCGCCAGGGCCACGGCCTGGCTCCGGACGCTGGCACCACCGCGGCTGTTCTTCCCTGGTGCTTGCTTCCAGGGCCCTGAAGGCTCAGGAACAGAGGCAAGGGGCTGCCCCGAGAGCTCCCACCCTCCGGACTCCTGCCGGCTCCTGCCAGGGAACCCGCCCATCCCCACAGCCCCAGGGCCTTTGCGCAGGCTGTCCCCACGTTGAGATGCCCTCCAGACCTACCTGCTCCCACCGCCCCCCCCGCAGGTCTCTGCTCAAATGTCACCTCCTCGGGGAAGGCCACCCTGACCACCGCCCCTCACGACAGCAGCCCCCGGCCCACCCATGCTCCCCAAGCCCCTCTGCTGGTTCCTCACTCACCCTGGCCCTCCCCACAAAAGACACTCTACGCGTCTGACCTGTCTCCTTGTCTATCTGCCCAGCGAGGATGCGTGTTTGTTCATCTTATTCACAGCACTCAGAACAGGGCCTGGCACCCAGTAGGTGCTTTAGAAATCACCAGGCCACGAACGAACATTTAGGAAGAGGACTGAAACCTGGCAGTGGCCCGTCGTGAGCCGGACGGCGCTGAGTGCCCTCTGGGTGCCCCGCGAGGAGGCCCACTTAACAGATGAGGAAACTGAGGCACGGAAGGGCCTGGGCTCCCTCGGGTTTGCACCGGAGTCTGTGGGAAGCCCACCTGCGGCAGAGCCGCCCCGGGAACCCAGGACACCAGACCAGGGCTGGGTGCCAGGAACCGGGACCAAAACTCGCCCCCGCGTCCCCTCCGCACTGCGGTCACACACAAGTGGCAGTGGCAGCGGGAGACCTGAGCCCCGGCGGGGAGACGCGGGGCTGCTCCTGCTTCGAACAGCACAGAGTAAAAGACGCCACGCACCAGCCGGGCCAAGAGCCGGACCCCCACCTCCGAGCCTCTGTCCACCACGCTGAGCCGCCCCTGACCGCAGTCCCTCCCCCCGGCACCCCAAGCCCTGCTGTGACCCCGGGGAGGAACGCCGGGGTCCCTGGAGCGTCACGGGGTCAGAGTCCCAGCCATTGCCTTCCAGCTGAGCGTCGGGACAGGTGACGCCCGTGTGCCTCGGTGTCACCCTTTGTAACGTGAGGACAGCAGCCCACTCAGGAGCACTGCTCTGAGGGTCACACACCAGGGCGACAGGTGGCAAGCATTCACTCTAATAGCTTGCTGTGCACCTACTGTGTGCCCGGCGCTGCTTGCAGCAGCCCTGTGGGGGCACTGTCGCCCCCCCCCCCGGGACCCCCGCGACACAGACGGGGAAGTGCAGGCACAGACAGGTGAGGTGACTTGCCCTGGGTCCCCGCCCCAAGTTATCTGCCTGGAACCCAGGCCGTCTCCTCTCACGCTGGACACAGCGACCACGAGGGACTCCAGCGCCCCGCCCGAGGGCTTCCTGCCAGCCGGCCACCCCGACTCGCGGGCCCGTCCCCAGGCCCGGCCGTCCCCACGCCCGCAACCCACCGTCAGAGCACAGAGCCCCCAAGAAGGAGAAAACCCACACCCCCACCTACACCGCCGGGGACCCCCTCACCCCTTCTCTCGGGCCCCGTCTGAAAGTCACTGCGCTGGGCCAGGAGACGCCCCTCCCCGGGGGGCGCCGCAAGCTGCTCCTCCGTTCCCACCCTGGGTCATGTGGGGGCCAGGCCGGCGGAGCCCCCCACCCGAGCCCCCACCCCACGCGCCCGGTGAAGCGGGCTCTCCAGCGGCTCCCGCCCCGCCGCCCGTGAGAGGGCCCCGCCGTGAACCTACCAGAAACGGCCGCCGGCCACGCTGTGTCCTCAGAGACTCCGGGAACCTGCAGGAAAAACGGGGGTCTTGTGAGTACAGATCACGTCCTCCACACCGGGGCCCCGACAGGGCCACCTCGCCGCGGGGGTGGCGACAGCAAGGCCCCAGGGCCGGGCACGCGGGGTCCGCCGGCCACGTGCTTCTCCATGCCCAGCCGAGAGGCAGGCGCTGCAGGGCCGTCGGGCTCCGAGGGTCCGCCCCGTGCCCTCGACCCAGAGCTGGGAGTCCGAGCCAGACCGAGGGGTCGCGCAGGCGGCCCTCACACGGGCCAGGCCGGCGTGGGGCCCGGGGCCATGGCAGTGTCCCCGTGAAACGCCCTGGTTAACTTCCCAGAGCGCGCCATGACCAAGCGAGGGAGGGTGGGCCCACGACTCCCACTCAAGCGTCTCGGTGTCTCCATTCCAAGTCAGGGCCAGCACGATGGCACCCAGGGTCCAGAGCGTCGAGTCAAGATGCCCACAGTAAGAAGAGCCAGTCAACCGATATAAAAATGGGGGAGCCCTGGCCGGGCAGCTCCGTGGGTTGGGGCGTCGTCCTGCACACCACAGCGTTGCAGGGTCGATCCCAGTCAGGGACATACCTGGGCTGCGGGTTCGATCCCCCACACCCCCCACCGCCGCCCAGGGATGTCCCCCAGGAGGGTCAGGGTGTGTACCAGAGGCAACTGATCGCTGTTTCTGTCTCATAACAATGTTTCTCTCCCTCTCTCTCCCCCGCCACACCCCCACCCTTCCTTTCTCTAAAATCAATAAAAACATTTCCTTGGGTGACGATTAAAAGGAAAACAGAAAAATGGGAGGAAGGCTCAATAGCGCTTCACAAAAGTGGTTACATGGATGGACAATAAGCACAAAAAAAGATGCTCAGGATCATCAATCACCAGGAAAGTGCACATCAAAACCCCCAGCGAGCCCTGCACGCCACATGGATGTGGCGCGAAAATAAAAGACAGACAACAGCAAGTGTCGGCGAGAACGCAGCCCGACCGAGAGCCTCAGCCAGCGCGCGTGGGGCACAAGCGGCGAGGCTGCTTTCGGAAACAGTCCGGCAGTTTCTTACCATGTTAAACCTCCCACCGGGTGACCACGTGACCCCGCAATCCCACTCCTGGGTATCAACCCCGGGCAAGTGAAAACCTGTGTCCACACGAAGACGTGCACGTGAGTGTCCATGACAGCCCTCCTCACACTCACAACCAAACTGGAACCGATCCGGCTCTCCCATCAGTAGATGAGAGACAGACAGTGGCCCTATCCACACCGCGGACGCTCCACGGTGACATGGCAACAGGGAGCTGCAGAGACACGTGACCCCACGGAGGAAGGTCAGACTCAGGCTGGGCCCAGGAGCCAGACTCCAGCTCCACACGCCGGGCTCCACGTATAAGATTCTGGGGAAGGCCGAGCTCCACGTTCACACGTACGCAGGGGTCTGCAGAGCGGGGCAGGCAGGTGATCCGCACGAGAGTTAGGACGCTGATCGCCTCTGGAGAGAAGACGGCTGGCGGCCCCTCGGCAGCCCCTCGGCGGCCCCTGTGTAACTTCACTAACCGGCCCGCGCGTTCGTGAGCTCGGTATCGCGTCAGCGTCCGCACAGAGAAGAACAAGGTCAGAAACAGCGCGGTGGGCCGAGCACCGGGCAGGTTCCGAACGCCTGGCTGCAGGCCCAGCTCTTCCGCAGACACTGGCCGTGACCTTGGGCAAGGCCCCTCCGCCCTGACCCCGTTCTCTCTGAGCTCGGCCTTCCCATCTAAAAAACGGGCCCGCTCCCCGAGGCCTGCTCCTTCCAACGCTGCTCAGCCCGGAGGGGATTTCCTGCAGCGCCTGCCTTTCCAACTAGACCCGCCACGGGGTCAGGTCCGGTCAATCTGTACAAAATCACCAGGCACGCAGTGCAACGCCTGCCGCTTTGAAGAAAGGGAAGTGACACCCACGTGAGCTTCCACGTGGCTGCCCTGGCCAGCGGGGCGAACCACGCCAGGCTAAGAGGAGCCAGCCGCAGGGCGTGCTCTGCAAAACCCTGAACGGTGCCCCAGGCCCCAGAAGATCCGGCCACTGGCCTCCAAGGGAAGTCCTAGCTTCCGCTAGTGACAGCAGGTTGGATCTGGGGGCTTCAGCCGTGGTGGCGTGGGGGGTGGAGGAGGGCCTAACACCACTCCTTCCTGGCGCATCTCTTCACCAGGTGACCAGGGGACCCTCCCTTGTCCCTTGTCCCTGGGTGTCACCCGTCCCTGTTACTGCGGCAGAGAGCAGCCCAGACCGCCGGAGCGGGAGGGAGGCAGGCTTCCACTTAAAAGCCACCAGGATATTTTATTCTCTTTCTCCAGTGACAACGGAGGCGTGCCCAGCCCCACGCAGGCTCTCCTTGAAGCTGCCAGAGAGGCGATCACTGAGTTCACCCAGGTCTGGCTCCCCGCCAGCAATGGGGCACGTGGGTGTGGCGGAGCGGACAAGCCCCGGAGCCGCGGCTGTGGCCACAGAGAGGGCCCGGCCCATGCGATGGCGGGCACAGGTCGGGGGTGGAGGGGGCTGAGGAGCACCCCCAGCCCCACGTCTGTCCGTCCAGGCTCCCAGAGGGCCTGTTCTGCCCCGACTCCGGGCAGCAGTCCTCACAGCAGGAACAGCCGCCTTGCATACACTCACAGCCGGACCTGGGCCGACCCGCCCAGCGGGCACTGTCCTGACCCTACGTCAGAGGAGGAAACGGGCCCCACCGACGATCACACAGTCAGCGCGGGGCGGGGGTAGAGCCCCGGCACCCGTCCGTCCCCTCCACCCCGCCGCGTGGCCCCGAATGTGCTCCTCAGCAACGCCCCCCCACCCCCGTCTCCTCATTACGGGGTGCGGGGCACAGGGCGGTCTGCAGAGACGGCGGCCGACAGGAGCAATTAGACGCCAGGAAGGAGCTGGGATATCGACCGCTTCTGCAGGCAGGGGGCCGCCGGGCGCCTGGCCAAGCACAGACCAAGGCCAGGCAGCGGCACAGGCCGGGTGGGGGCCAGGGGAGAGCTTTGCTCCCCGGCCTGCACAGGCAGCAGAGCTGAGGAGCCCTCTGTCCGCCCACCTGTCTGTCCGCCCCTGGAACAATGGCCCCCCGGGATGCGGAGCGCCCTCCCGAGGGGCTCACGGTGCCGGGTACAACGCTAAGCCCTTCACACTTATCAATGGGTCTAACTCTTACCCCGCCCTACGTCCGAGGAGCTCTGGCCCCCTCACCCCATTTTGCAGATGGCAGCGAGGCAGGAGGCTCGCCCAGCTCCCACCGCTGAAACGTGCACCCAGCCACCCACGGCAACCTCCCATCGCCTCTGACGGACGCCCTGCCCCAGAGCCCCCGCGTGGGCAAGGCCGCGGAGCAGGCTCCCTGGGAACGGTGGGGTGGAAACTTCCAGAAGCTTCTGGGCATCCCTCAGTGGCCCCATCACAGGCGCCTTGTAAAGATAACTCAGGTTCTGTGGCAGCAGCACAAGGCAAGCGCCCCAAAGCATTAGCCGCCGGGCTCCCTGGGGACAGGCGACCCAGCACCCGTCCTGGTGATCAAAGACCCTCCCAGCCAAGGTGCGGGCGGCCGGGCCCCGCCCCAGAGAGCAAGGGCGCCGCAGAGCCATCGACCGCCAGCAGCAATTAATTGCCCAGGTCAAGAGATAGTGAAAGGGATTTGTCACCAGGGCCCAGGGGACAGCCCAGTGAGTCTGGCAAACCCAGCTCCTGCTGACCTGGTCCCGAGACAGAGCGGGACCCTCCACGCCCCTCCAGCACCCCCTTTCCCCGTCTCTGCCTTCCCCCGGAACCCGAGCGCTCCCCACGCACAGGCTCCACCCTCCCGGGAACGCCCCTGACCCAGCGCAGGACACGGACCCGCCCAGCATCCGGACCGCCCAGCATCCGGGACCTGGGCGCCCGCGGCCGCTGCAGCCCAGCAGCCTGAGATCCTCCTCCGAGGCAGCTTCATCAGCTCCGGCACGGAGATCGTGACCAGGGCGGGCGGCTGAAGCCAGGCTGGCTCAGGCTCCGATCCCAGCTCTGCCGTTCTGCGAAGCCTGAGGACATCACCTTGCTTCCCCCAAGCCTCCATTTCCCCACCTGTAAAATGGGGGTGAGGCCGAGGGCTAACCTGTGCGAAATACATAGCCTGGCCCGCAGCACAGGCTGGGCTCAAGCTTGCTGCTGGGGTTCGGCTTCACTAGCGCGGCTCAAGTGTTAGTCAAGAACCCCAGCACCTAGGGCTCAGGGCCCCGAGCCAGGCCGGGGCTCTGCCGCAGAACCCCCAGGGGAGCTCAGGCGGGGGTGGGGCCCGTGTACACCCCAAGTTGGCAGCTGGCTGCCCTGAAGACACACAGAGCCCTCCACCCAGATCCTCCGAGGACAGGCGTGGGCCCTGCCCAGCTTTCAGCCCCTCGTGCCTGCCCCAGCCGCCCACCTACGTCCGGGGCACGTGCAGCCCCTCTCACCCTGGGTGCCGTGCGAGAGACGACCATGACCCCTCCCTCGCTGCCCCCCCCCCACGGATGGGAAACCGAGGCCCAGGGCAGCGGGGGCAGGGCAGCCCCCAACCGGCTCTCTGACGTCCCACAGGCACGAGAGCCCGGCAGGTGCTCAGGAACCGGGTGGCCGAGGCCTGGGTGGCACCGAGTCACGGCGAGAAGCTCCTCGGAAAACACAAGCAGCCCCACAGGGCCCCCCTCGGGCCCGGAGTGAACCGCGCTGATTCACTGTCAGCCGCCTGCTGGGCTGTGTTGGGAAGTTCCTGCTTCTGCGGCCAGGGCAGGGGTGGGGGACGAGGGGCACAGGACAGCCACCAGGCCTGGGGCCCCGGAACCGGCCTGAGCCTCTGCACGGGTCATGCCCAGGCTCAGCGCCCAGCGCCCCTCGAGGGCTGGCAGCCCCAGCCCAGCAGCGGCCTCCCTCCCGAGCGGCACCCTTGGGTGCTTGTGGCTGCAGGGCAGGCCGCACAGGAACCTCCCCCCAAACCCCGGGGGACAGGCACCAGGAGAGCCCCGTCCCACCG